GTGTTAGCGATTCCTGCCAGCTTAGTATCATCCGCAAATTTGGTAAGTTTCCCTTCTATTCCCTCATCTAAGTCGTTTATGAAGATATTGAAGAGTATTGGGTTTCAGATGGAACCTTGTGGTACCCCATTGCTTACTTCCCTCCATGTAGATGTAGACCTATTAAGGACTACTCATTGAGTATGGTTTGTCAGCCAGTTACAAATCCATCTGGTGGTGATCCTATCTATCCCACTTTTTTCTAGCTTACCAAGAAGTAGGTTGTGGTCTACTTTGTTGAATGCCTTGCTGAAGTCTAAGTATATTGTGTCCACAGTATTTTGCTGGTCTACTAGTTTAGTCACTATGTTGAAAAATGAAATAAGATTGGTTTGGCATGATCTGTTTTTAACAAACCCATGCTGACTGCTAGTTATTAGCTTACTCATTTCTAGATGCTGGCAGTTCTGGATTTTTATTATCTTTTCCAGTATCTTCCCAGGTATTGATGTTAGGCTGATTGGTCTGTAGTTTCCTGGATCTGTATTTTTTTCCTTTTTTGAAGATGGGAACCACATCAGCTCTTTTCCAGTCCTCTGTAGTTCCCTGGTGCTCCATGATTTTTGAAAAATGTGGTACAGTGGTTCTGAGATGACATCTGCCAGCTCCTTTAGAATTCTGGGAGGTAATTCGTCAGGTCCCAGTGGTTTGTGTTCATCAAAATCAGGTGTTCTCTTACTATTTTTGGCTTATTTTAACTTTTGTTTCTAGTCTGTCTTTTACAGTTCCGGTTTTGGTAAGTTGGGCTATAGTTTCTTTTTGCATAAGACCAATGCAAAGAATGAGTTAAGCAGCTCTGCTTTCTCTCTGTTGCCTATTACTTCCTTGCCGTCTTCTCTCTTTAGTGGACCGACTGTTTCCTTGAATTTTTTCTTGTTATTTATATGTTGGAAGAAACTTTTTTTTTATTATCTTTGACTTTTGTTGCAAGTCTTTCTTCATTCTGAGCCTTTGATTTCCTGACTTCATCTTTGTAGAATTTAGCTATCTGCTGATATTCTGCCTTAGTTGTGTGTTCCTCTTTCCATTTTTCATACTTGGTCTTTTTGTCTTTCAATTTGTCAGAGAGATCTTTGTGCAGCCTTGCTGGTTTCTTCTTGTATTTCTTGTTTTTCTTTCTCAGTGGTATTGTGCTGGTCATGGCTTTTATGATCATGTTTTTCAGAGTTTCCCAAGATTCTTGAGTTGTTTTCCCCTTTAGGATTTTCATCCAAGGAATATTTCCCAAGTTCTCTTTGAGTTTATTAAAACCAGCTCTTTCAAAATCCAAGATTCTGGTGTCATTATGTTCTGTTGCTTGTGTTTGTGTTATGTTGAATTCTAGTATGACGTGGTCATTCTCACCAAAGGTTCCTGCAGTTTCAACTCCCTCTATCACTTCTTTTCTGTTTACTGGAATTAAGTCCAGTATGGCTGTCCTTCTAGTTTCCTCCTCTACCTTTTGGACAAGAAAGTTGTCAGCTAGGTTGGTTAGGAACCTATTTGATTTTTCACTTGGTGCAGAATTAGTCTTCCAATTGATATCAGGGTAATTGAAGTCCCCAATTACTATTGTAGTGTGTTTTCTACATATATTTGTTGGTTGGTTTCTGTGCCACTCTTTTACATTTTGGCAGATAGCAATTTATTTCCTCACTTAATCTATTGTACCTATGGCTCACTTGCATTCTCCACTCCACAATTTCTCAGAAGTGTCAGCTATTGCTACCATACTTCCAACTTCTGAAATGTGTGCCCCCCTCCCATTTTTGACCATCTTCTATTATTCATTTCTAATTTGACCTTTTGGCAGCATAGTGGACATGTGACTCAACTCTTCATATCCATCAACTAGTAACATAATTGATCTTGACCAGACACACTGCCTTCACTTTGATGTTTATTTTTTCATATATTCAGCTATTAAATTATCTTGTACTTGAAATAACATTCATTCCATTCTGTGCCGAGTTAAAATTCTGCTACAGGGATGTTACTGTAATCATATCTTCCTGTGTTTCAGCAAGCTTATCTAACATACTCCACATATATCCAGTAGAGCTGTGCAGTGTTTTGGATTTGTTGTAAAACAGCTGCTTTGGAACACACACAAGTACAATGTGTATAATTCTTTCAAGACTCATACAGTTGCTGCAAGGAAGTTTGTGGATGATTCTGGAAACAGACAAGGCTGCTTTAATAACTTGGACACAGCTGCTCAGTTCACATTCTGTCTTCTGGAATAAATCCAAAGCACCACTGATATTCAACAAAGGTTAATGATTTCAATAAAAAAATCTGAAGTTGTATTTCTAATTTCAGTGAATTTCACTTCACCATTTTATTATTTCCCTAAGTTATTAAGAGAATTCCTATTTGATTTGGCCATCTAAATATTGCAGCCACTAACTTAAGTCAAGTCTGCTCACCCACTGGCATATAAGGAGGAGGACGGCAAAATACAATTGGATTTGCAAGGTTTTGTTATTATAGCCATTTTCAATAAAAGTAGCTTTAGCCTTCTTGTGGAGTTGATTTCCTGCTCTGGTTAACTATAGGTAGTCCTTGATTTACAACAATTCACTTAGTGACTGTTCAAAGTTAAACAGAACTGAAAAAAATTGCTTATGACAATTTTTCACACTTATGACCATTGCAGCATCCCCGTGGTTATGTGATTTATATTTGGATGCTTGACTCATATTTATGACAGTCACAATATTCTGGAGTCATGTGATCACCTTTGGCAACTTTCTGACAAGCAAAGTAAATGGGGAAGCCAGACTCACTTAACAACCGTGTTACTAATTTAACAGCTGCAGGGATTCATTTAACAAATGTGGCAAGAAAAGTCATAAAATAGGCAAAACTCACTTAACAAATTTCTCACTTAGCATAATAAATTTTGGGCTCAATTGTGGTTGTAAATGGAAGATTAACTGTAATTGGGCTGACACTAATAGACAGAAGCTAACATCTAGCATCAGTAATTCTTCCACTGGGCCCCTAACACATATATACGAGAATAACACATTTTCCTCTAACTTAAGCTAACATCCTTATTTCCAGGAATGTGTGTTTGTGTGTTGTGCTTCTTTGATTTGTTTACCTGTGTGTGCTTGGAGTTGAAAGCTTGATCTCTTTAAAAAAAGGATTTTGCCTGTGCCCAGGGCACACTATACAATGCTGTGTTCTAGGTTACAAAGGCACCACCACACAATCTTCAGCCTCTCCTACCAGGGGATTATTTCTCAAATAATCTAATTTCTATCCCAGCAAGATAAGATTAAAGGGAGAAAAATAATGGCAACTCCTTCATTCCAATAGCTACAGAAACAACATTATTACAATTCCTTGGTTTTTAGTGTTAGTGTCCTTTGTAATTAAAACCTTTGGAATGAAAAAGTATCTTGAGATGCATATTTACTACATATGTTCATTTAGTTCATTTAGTTTCCGCAATAGCTCAGTTTTGGACAGGAAATAGATCATATCCGTGATCTATCAAGGCACTGGCCAAACCCAAACTTTAACTAACAGCCCAGTCATTTAGCATGACAGATCAAGGAGAAACTAGGCATTACTAATATTGCAATCATTATTGTATTAAATTCAATCCAAACAAAATTATCAAATCAGCTTGCAATGCACATTAAAGTGGATACATACTTTATTACACATTAATGCAAATGTATTCATATATATTCTTTATATAAAAGTATATAAGAACATAGATCCTTGCTTTGAATCAAAATCAGAACAGGACAATATCAACAATCTGCACAGCAGAATGTACATGATCAAAGGTTGAAGACTGACCTTTGATGAATAGCAGTTTATTTTCTTCTCTATATGAACTGGCTTTCCCTGATATATTTATCAGGCTTCAACTTCATGCCAGATATGATTTTAAGCGGGGGTCTCCAAACTCGGCAATTTTAAGACTTGTGGATTTCAACAGTCATCTGAGGAATTATGGGAGTTGAAATCCACAAGTTTTAAAGTTGCCAAGTTTGGAGACCTCTGATCTTAAGCTTTGCTGCTTCACAGTAACTTGAGCCTGCAAATACAGTCTCCTAACCACCACAATTGGGACAAGTAACTCCATTGTTAAGCAATGCAATCATTAACCAAGACATCATATGACTGTGATGGGCTTATGACTTCGCTTTACCTGTAATTATTTGGTGAGACATCACATGACCCAATTTATTATTGCTGGTTTATCCATTCGCTCTGTTGTTGGAAGTTGGCTGTGAAGCACACCAATGGCAATCATATGACGGCAGGCCATTGTAGTGCTTGTAAATGCCCAAAACTTGCTTAGCACCTGAATCTCAATCACATGACTAGGGGATACTATGATGGCCATAAGTTCAAAGACCAGTGCAAAGTTACTTTTTCAGTGCTGTCATAACTTTGAAAAGTCACTCAAAGGGCAGTTCTTAAGCAAGTACTGAGCCATCAATTTTGTAAAGTACAATTAAGGTATGTATATATCAAGAAAGTAACAATTATTATTGCCAGATTTATCTAAAACAGCAAAGACCACAATCGGGAGGATTTTGGCACAAGTGAATATGGTGTAACCATCTGGGTACAAAAGTAGCAGGATGTGGAATATTAAACAAGAACAAAGGATGAGGTATAAGGAAATAGTGTATCAGTTGAGTGATTTCTCCTCAAACTGTCTAGATGTAAAATACTAAATGAATCTCTTTCATGCAAGAACTTCCTTATTTATCTTTGTATTTTAATTGCCTTATGTGGGATAGAAACTGTAAAACTGCAGTCTAAATTTAAGAATTTAAATGATTTCTGGGAAGAGTAGATTTACAATTTTAGTTATTACTTGAGTTGGTTGAAAGTAATTCTGAGTGTATTTGATGCTTGACTACATATTAGCAGCACTGTTCTTAAATGAATAGAGAAATATCTGTCAGCATGTAGCTCATTTTCCTTCACTTAAACCTACAACCAAGACATCAGAAGACTATTCCAGCTGCCAAAGAAGGTATGCAACCCAGTGGCTTCTTAAAGCCAAACACGTTAAGAATGCAACTCATGTGTTTTTCTATCCTTTAACAATTCTACCTTTCTAATAAAAGAATAAACTGAAATTACTGCCAAAGGTAACAATAAAGATGAACAAACCTCTGCTGAATATATGACAGGAAATGAACTATATATGAAAAGTATGTATTGGATTGGAAATACTAATCCTTGTTCATATTGATACAATTAAAGCAAAATAATTATAATCTCAGACCAGTTACTGTTCATTGGGTTGAAAAGTAGTACAGTATATTTTTCTCTTCTAGGCTCACAGTTACCGTATTTTTCGGAGTATAAGATGCACCTTTTTCCCCCAAAAAGAGGGTGAAAATCTGGGTGCGTCTTATACTCCGAATGTAGCCCCGCCCAGCTTCTCAAACGGAGGTTTCAGAGGCTGAAAAAAGCATCAGAAATGAAGCTTCAGAAAAGAAGCCTCCAGACAGAGCTTTGGAAAAGAAGCCTCCAAACAGAGCGTCAGAGGCTTTTTTTCCAAAAACAGAGTTTCAGAAGTTTAAAAGGCACAAAAAAAAAAAAAAAAAAGGAAAAAAAAAAGCAAGGCACAGCGCTCACAACCAAGGAACCTGTTGCTAAAATTCACCTCTGGGAACAGCTGATTGGGGGTATTCTGGGAGGCCGATCTACCTGCCAATCAGCTTTTTTCTTATTTTTCTCCCCAAAAACTAAGGTGCATCTTATACTCCGGTGTGTCTTATACTCCGAAAAATATGGAATCTCAGATACTATTGTTAGGTCTTTACTGCATTCCAGCATACAATTTTACCATTGTTGGGTAGTCAAAACAGGTCATTGGCAAGAGGAAAAACTAAGAGCGAGTAATTAAAACAAACCATAGCTTAGCATGGTTCACAAACCCAGGCATTTTCATTTCCCTATTTAGCCATGGTTCATAAACCACAATGGTTAGGTCCATACACTGTAGAACAGAATAAAAGAATTGGAAGGGACCTTGTAGGTCATCTAGTCCAACCCCCTGCTCAAGTAGGAGACCTATACCATTTTTGACAGATTTCTGTCCAGTCTCTTCTTGAAAGCTTCCAGTGATGAAGCACTCTGAAGGCAAGCTGTTCCATTGGTTGATTGTTCTCACTGTCAGAAAATTTCTCCTTATTTCTAGGTTGAATCTCTCCTTGATCAGTTTCCACCCATTATTCCTTGTCTGGCCTTCAGGTGTTTAGAAAAAGAGGTTGACCCCTTCCTCTCTTTGGCAGTCCTAAAATATTGGAACACTGCTATCATGTCACCCCTGGTCCTTCTCTTCAGTAGTCTAGCCATGCCCAATTCCTGCAGCTGTTGTTCATATGTTCTAACCTCCAATCCCCTAATCATCTTGGTTGCTCTTCTCTACACTTGTTCTAGAGTCTCAACATCTTTTTTATAGTGTGGTGACCAACTGGATGCAGTATCAGTGGTGGACTGCAAATTTTTTAACAACCGGTTCTCTGCCCGAATGAATGGCTGGGTGGGCATAGCTGGGTGGGTGTGGCTGGGTGGGAGTAGCCAACTCAATGTCATTTTCATCGAGCAGTGCTTCACTTCGCCCGCCCTCTCATGACCGTGGGGATGCTGCAATGGTCGTAAGTGTGAAAAATGGTCATAAGTCACTTTTTTCAGTGCCCTTGTAACTTTGAATGGTCACTAAATGAACTGTTGTAAGTCAAGGATTACCTGTACAAAAATACAAAAAGCTTCTTTGCTTGCAAAAAAGCTGCCCTAAATACCAGTCATTAGATTAGAAATGGGGGAATACACACTAAAGATCAATGAGTCACAGCCATCATGGAACCGTAAACCATTCTGCCTGAATACCTTCCTTTTCTTCAGCAATACCTGCAACCTGGAGTTACAAATCAGGCAGGTTGCCAGAGCACATTGAGGAATTAAAATAGTTAAAATACAAGGATAACTATCAGCAGCCAAGTTATTCATGCTCATAAAGTGAAACCCTTTAGCACAGAGGTCTTTTAAGCTCTCCAGAAAGTGGGTGGGCATATTTGAGCTACAAAATGCTGAGCTAAAGGGAGAAATTAACAAATTAACATCTTGAGTGAGGGCTAATCCAGGGGTGAAATCTAAAATTTTTTGCTACCGGTTCTGTGGGCGTGGCTTAATCAGTGGGCATGGCTTGGTGGTAAGATGACTGGGTGGGCGTGGCTTGTTGGTCAGGTGGGTGTGGCTAAGTCAATGTCACTTCTTTGCCCTTTTTTAACTTACAAAACACAACACAACACAACTGGCTCACCCACAATGTAAAAGCAGCTGTGTTAGACCCAAAATGGCCCCTGCAACAAGCAGGAACCTCACACATCCACAAAAAGCCCAAAAAAACAACTTTCACACTTTACACACACACAACACAACTGGCTCACCCACAATGTAAAAGCAGCTGTGCTAGAGCCAAAATGGCCCCTGCAACAAGCAGGAACCTCACACAGCCACAAAAAGTCCCAAAAAAACAACTTTCACACTTTACACACACAAAATTCCACATACAGCTTTGTGAGATTTTGTGTGTTTGTGTACTTAGAGTGAAACACTACAGAAACATACTAAATCTCAGAAAGGTGCACAAATATTATTTTATTTTATTTTATTTTTATTTTTATATAAAAGCAGCTAAATTTAAAACTTCCTAAACTTTAAATGGTTAAGTCTAAAAAAAGAACAACTAAAAAAAACCCCAATTAACTATTTTTTTTTAAAGCTCCCAAAGGGGGAAAAAACTTATCCAATAGAACAGGGGTCTCCAACCTTGGCAACTTTAAGACTTAAAGTTGCCAAGGTTGGAGACCCCTGCAATAGAAGGTATAAACCAGGCAGGAAGGCAGGCAGGCAGATAGAGCTGCTCACCGATGAGCTTGATTGCAGGCAAGGAGATTCAGTTGCTTGCTGATGCAATGGATTGCAGGGATTACAGCAAGGCGTTGTGACCAGCAGCTAAGGTAAGCAAGCTGGAGGCTGGGGGGTTGGGGGGGGCGGGGAGATTTTTGCTACCGGTTAGCAGGCAACTCAGCTGGGATTGCCAGAGCTTGGCTCGTCAGAGCCATTTAAAAGAAAAAAAAGGCTCTGATGATCACGCGGCTCAGCTGGGCATGGGGGCGGGGGGGGCAGGGATTTTTGCTACTGGTTCTCCGAACTGCCCGCTGCCATCGCTACCTACTCACTCGAGCCGGTCCGAACCGGGAGCATTTCACCCCTGGGCTAATCCTATTCTGCCTTTGTTCAGACCTTGCTGCAGGGAATTTTTGCCTATGAATATAGCTATATATCTCTTTACCTCTTAAGTGCTGACATCTTCTGTAGGCTATTAAGGAAGGTGGGGGTTGCTTTCTCCCTCTAAGAAAACATGTTTCTCCATTTCTCATTCAGGAAAATATATTCTTCCTTTTTAATATTTCTCAAAATATTTCATTCTTCTAGGAGAGGGGTGGGTGCTAACTTTCTACAATTGGTGCCATGTTACTATGCCATATTATCATGAGAGAAAACTAAAACAAATTGGAAAGAGGATCCACTTATTATCAGTGAGCAATCATGTGCCTTGTCCACTCCGAAGCAATGCAAGAGGCTCCTGTCCCAAAGGTGCTTTTTCAAGAGGCAACTGGACTTTCTGGAAATCAAGAAAGTCCAGTTGCCTCTTGAAAAAAGCACCTTTGGGACAGCCATGACCTGGATGACTGATGAATCCCCATAGACAAGAGACTCCTGTGCTCAGTGAACGGACAAAGCACCCAGGAGAAACAATCCTCAGATCCCTTTGCACCATTTAAAGATACCACCTGAACTCACTCACATCACAAGATAACCTATGGTAATCATCCAGATTTAAGGAAAAATCACATGCTCTCAGAAAGACAATAAAAAAAATCTGACAGAATGCCAAGCTTGCATCCTGCCTCTCAGCCATTTCTTCTGTGGCTATGCTAATCCTTCTGTAAATAGCTGTTCAAGCCCCAGAAATAAAAGTACCACAAAAACCTAGGGGGCGGTGGGGCGGGGAACGGGATGGGCAGAGACTCCGAAGAGGCTCAGCTACAGACAGAAAGTCTAGACAGTTTCTGAAAACACTTAAACCAGCAGGGGTGGCAATTTAGATAAGGATTAGGTTAGAAATACAGGCCCACTAGAATCTTTCCTTCCTGTGTTCCTTGCAGAATTAGCCCTGTAAAGTGGGAAAAGATTTCTTCCAATAACTGGTTCTCCAAACTGCTCAGAAAATTAGCATCCAGTTCCAGAGAACCTGTGCGAACCAGTAGCAGCCAACCTCTATGCAGTATTCTAGGTGTGGTTTTACTAAGGCTTTATAGAGTGGTATTAGTACCTCACTTGATCTTGATTGTATCCCTCTGTTAATGCAACTTAGGATTCATTGGCTTTTTTTGGCTGCCACAGCACACTGCTGGCTCATATTTAGCTGGTTGTCCACTAAGACTCCAAGATCCCTCTCACAGTTACTGCTATTAAGCCAGGTTTCACCCAGTCTATATGTGAACTTTTGGTGTTTGTTCCCTAAGTGTAAAACTTTATTTTTCTCTACATTGAATTTCATTTTGTTAGATAGGACCCAGTGTTCAAGTCAGCCAATATCCATCTAGATCTTGAGCCTATCATCTAGGATCCTGGCTATTCTTGTCTGCTTAGTACCATCTGCAAATTTGATGAGTTCCCCTTCTATTCCCTCATCTAAGTTGTTTATGAAGATATTGAAGAGTATTGGGGCTAAGATGGAACCTTGTGGTATGCTACTGCTTCCTTCCTTCCATGTAGATGTAATATAATTAAGGACTATTTGTTGAGTATGGTTTGTCAGCCAGTTACAAATCCATCTGGTGGTGATGGTATCTATCCCACTTTTTTCTAGCTTACTGTTACGTATGCACATATGGAGGACCGTATTTGCCTACTCACCGCTGATTGGTCCATCTAGTGGCGGGAAAAAGAAATCGCTGTCAGCGGCTGGCTAGGCTGATGGCACTCTTTAAAAAGAGAGCTCCGGCAGCTGCCAGCGAGTCTATTCTGATTGTGAGTCCACAATAAATGTGCTGAAGTACTGTCTGTGTTTTGCGTCTTCACTGCGCCCCCTATTTAACACTGGCAACAAAGGTGGGATACTGAAGAGGACTAAGGTGGACAAAGAGTTGACCTCAACCTTGTGGCATCTGCAGCCATCTTATTGCAAGGGACGACC